AACATGTACTTGGCTTTAATGAAAGAACTAATTATGAAGAACAAATTTCGTTTTAAGGAAAAATCTCTATCTTCAATATTGTAATTGTAGGAAGAACACGAAAAAGGTTCAAACAGCAGTTTCCGAAATTTGAAAGTGAAAACAGTGGAAATTGGATCATTGCCATCATTATACGTGTATGTATCTCTATTCTTACAAGAAATTTTATTTGGAGCAACGTTTGAAAAAGAATTGAAAAATGTCCGCAGGGCTTCATTTAAAATACCCCCAAAATTTCAATAATGTTTTTCAAAATCGTAGAACTTTGAGTGGTGCCAGCCCGACAGGGAAATATGCATTTTGGAGAAAATCCTACGAATAGTTTAGATGCTAGTGCTGATCATAGACGTTTCGAGGGAGAAAAAACTACACCTACGGGATAGGGTCCTCCAAAGTGTTACTCCGTTGAAATCTCGAAATAGATTTTCCGCGACATTACATAACTGCTTCGATACTCCGTAAATACTTACGTATACGACAAAGTAAAAAGCAATAATTCTAAGAGCTATATCAAGTTTTTTTTAAATGGAAGAAACTACATTGTAATAAATGAAATACATTGAAAATACAGTGTATGGAATCAAATCATTACAACATATTGATATTCATCAAAATTAGTTGAATAACTTTACAAACGTTTTCTTGTCCATTATGATCATGGGATGTTTGACACTGACAATGCAATGTAGCGATACTGCGAAAACTCCCCATTTATGCATTGCTCTAAAACTTCACCCAGGTTTTATTTTTTAATAACAAGTTTAGAATGTACTTCCTTAACACATCACAATAATATATGCAAAATAATAGTAAAAAATAAAAACAGCTAATAAATAGAATTTTGTCTTACGTTCAATCAATTAAGAATCTGAACAAAACAGAATTTCATAAAGTAACAGCTGAGTAGCTGTTAGAAAGTATTGTTGGTTCCGAGTAAACAACAGTGCATTCAAATACCTAAGCGCAGTCATATACTTAAAAATAAATTTTGAATTAATTAATTGAAGCATTATTGTATTAGGCCTACTTTACTAGAGAGTTAGCCTTGTCAAATTCTTGAAATTAACAAGAAACTAAAATGACTTGCCTGCAAAATATTTGTCCAGTACAGCTAAGATTAAAATATTTTAATTCCACGAATAAACAGGAGACAATGAAGAAAATTATCACCTTTCACTATAAGATCAAGCACATTTCAGTGTAATTAACCACGTAACACATTGGCCAATCAGACTTTACGTGGCCAACTGTTAAAACAATAAAAATGCATTGTGGCGTGTGCAATTTCACAAACGATATAAAAATTACTAGGGTACCCACGCGAGAACTCTCGCATGTTAATCCCCACCCTTTCCCTATCCAATTTCCTAACCTTTTCATTAGGAAGGAAAGTTGTTAATGAAACGTGTTTGTTTTAAAAAATGTATTAATGTAACTTCGTACTTACAGATTATCAAACAAAAATAAAAACAACGCAATTAACGTTGCAAGCAAATTTTCAATAAAGATTCAGTATTACAGAGATATATTCTTCGAACAATTCACACTTCTTTAAAAACATTTGAAGTCATTGAATCTTCCTTGACAGCGTTTTGATTTACTTGATAGTCACAAAAATATTACTAAAGGTTTTTATACTCTTGAGCCAGCCAAGTAAAATTTTCCAAGCGAAAATACATAATCGGGCATGTACGAACATACTCTTTTGTAATATTATTCAAATTTCCTGGATTTCTTATGAGGAAGAGAGGGAGTTTTCCACTTCAACCTCCGCGTATCCGCGCGAGAACTCTCGCAGGTGAAACCCCCATCTCTTCAATATCCTTCTATTTAATTCTAAGAGGATAACTGGTTAAAGAATCCTATTTATTTGTTACAAATGTATTAAAGTGACTTCCATTGTCCTAAAACAATATCAAATTTTAAAAAAACACAATGCAATTGATGTGGAAAACAAATTTTCACTTAATATTTATTCAGTATTATCGAGAGATTTATTGGAACAATTCAAACACTTAAAAATATTTGAAGTACTTATTCAATGTTTATTGACAGTTAGCTCTTCGCTTTTCGTGATAGTCACAAAACCATTTTTTTAAAAGCTTTTTACTCTTGAGAAAGCTACGTGACTGAACCCGCTGACTTGAAAGTTTACCAGAATCACTGCTGATAACGAAAATATTGGAACAGGTAAAACAGAACAAATCAAACAAGACACGTCTTCACTCTTCACGGTACATCCACATTCCTCCACAATTAGGCACTCTTAGACATCGACAAAACCTTAAAACGAATGTAAGAAACAATATTCATCGGTACCAAGCAACTATTGATAGTTCTTGCGGTTGTTGGTGCGAGAGCAAGTCTTGAAATAATAATCACGCAAGTAAACCTCGTCAGTCTGCGCAACCACGGTCGTCACAGAGTGCGTAAATAGTATAGAGGAATCTAAGCCTTCTAAGTGTGACGTAACAAAGATCACCTTCACCAAGGATTGCTAAGAGGCGGCATTGGTAGTATCGATAAGTGCCGAGCGAGTAAAAATTTAATAGAATATCCAAGAATATCTGATCCTGTAAGGTGCGTAATTACGGTGTAAGGAGCGTTTCGTTGATGCCTTTGGCTTCAAAATTTAGTTTTTAAGGTCCTAGAACGCTTTGTTGAGACGTTATTTAAAGATATAGTTGACGGTTTTTAAAAGGAATATTTAGATGCGGTTTTTAAACAAATCCTTAATGCTTTTAAAGTTAAAGTGCAATTCGTCACGTCCCCGTGAAATTCTGTTCCCCCATTTATAAAGATCGGGTGTGTGTGAGAGCCCCAAAATGTATGTACACTACTGAAATAATATAGTAGACGATGTTTGATTACAATTATTATAAAAAATTAATATTCATAAATAATTGCTTGGTAAACTATAATACAATGCTTTTTGTTTGGCATATTTTGGTTTTAAACAAGAAATTCCAAATAAGTTTGCAAAAAGACGTATGTAAAATGCTACACTGTTTGTTTAGCTTCTTCCCACCACGTACTCTGCCTTTTTGAACTAATTTTTCAAGTCCCATTTTCCTTATTACTCATTTAATTTCCCTTAAAAATAATGTGCATCGTCTTTCATCCCTGCGAAACATCACTTGGTCATCTGCAAAATGTAGTGAATATCGTCGTTTAATTGTATTCTATCCTTTCACATTTTTTCTTCAGTTATTTAAAGCTCTTCCTAGCAAAATTTTGAACAGGGTTGGTGGATGCAACAAACTTGTCTTAGCCGTTTACTTCTTTTGTTTCTTTTGATATGCCTATTTTTCTAATGTAACTGGTTATTAAATATGAGAATTAAAAATTTACAAATAATAACATTTTTTTTACTATTTCAAACGTTCACCTGAGCGAGTCAAATCTGTAAGCGAATAACAATTTTGTTGACTGCGAGTTTACAATGTTTGATTTTATTTTGAAATCATGAAATGCCAAGTTTATGCTCCCTACATTACAAATTTATAACTTTGGTGTGAATTCGCGAAGTCGCATCTATACAGAAACCGAAATATTATTTTGATGTGGGGACCCCTGGCCCTTCTTTTTTTTTCCTGTCATGTTGTTTATTACACTAAATATACACACCAAATTTTAAAGTCTGTCAATATGATCAGCAATTTTATTTAATTCTTAAGCAATAATTTCCCACAATGCCTACTCTGCAAATTCTTGTCCTCCGCCGTACATACACAAAAAATTTACCCTTTGAAAAATACACCAATACAAACATATCTTGAAGGAAAAACAAATCCAAATTACATTCACTCATTCATACATATTTAATAACATTTCATTCACGTGAGTGCTCTCTTTTGAGAATAGAATTGATTCTAATGGTAATTTACTAAATAATAATAAATTGCAAGTCTGGCTTTCTTACAAAAATTGTCGGGCAAAATTGCGTCACCTCGCTGGTTTGCTGGAACCCTCAAGTTGTTCTCTCGTCGCGGATTACATCTTTTCCTTCTTCTTTTTTTTTAATTCCCAATTGAACACTGTGAATTAAATATACTCCTACTAGGAGCATTACTTTACACGAATTCTATTGCCCCCTCAAAAAATTTGTATACATGAAATAATCGATCCTTCCCGCCCCCACGGTGGTTTATCAACTTAAAATCGCCAACCCACCCTGTTTATATGCATTTTTTATCGTTCTGTTCTCTCACCGCGCAGTTTTCCAAACAAAGAAAAAGCCCCTTCTCTTTCGTCAACTCCGCATGTAACATTTTTACCATTTCCAAATTTTTAGATTGTCTTTTCGATTTTCCTTAATTTCTTCTGATAATTTTATACTTAAAATCCAAATAATAAAATTTAATTACTTTTCCCCTTTTCTAAAAATTCCTAATATTGGTTTTATCACTTGAATGTAATCACCCATACTTAAATAAAAATTCATTGTCCCTTGCAAAATTATACGACAACTCATTCACAATTTTTTTTTAAACAAATTAAACTCAATTAAGTTTTTTTATTTAAATTCTATAATAATCTAGAGCTTAGAGGTGGGCTTGGGTGTTAATAAATTATTCTTAATTGATCCTTTAAATTTTTAATTTACTCTTTCAGAGGTTCCTGCCTTAACCAAGCACAGTAAACCTTGGGGGGTTTTTTAGAATTAAATAAATTTTACATTCCACCCTTTTTGCCAACCTTCTACTGTTTGTCCTCTTTTAATTAAATATGTCAATTTTAAAGTTATTTTTGGTGCAAATTTATTTTACATAATCAACCGGGTTCCGTTCCAAGCTTTAACTTTTTTATAAGGCCAAATTTTTCCCTTATCCGTAAACGTTTCACAATTTTGGTCCACACCCTAATTAGGTTTTTCCAAAGTTTCCCTCTGCCTTGCCCTTCCTTTTCAAATTTACAAAACACCCAAACTTCCGTTATGCCGGCTTTTTCCATGTACGTTAATTTTTGTTTTTTAATGTCTCCTTGTACATGGCTCTTCCTGAAGCGACTTCATCTACCATTTTGCCCAAACTTCCTACTTTAGCCCTGAACTTATACAACGAACAACAAAAAATTGTTGTACCCGTTCTAGCAAAATTCACTTTAATTTAATATCCATGTCCTCTTCTTTTACAATCTCCCTCTCATATTTGATTCCCTGACTTTTCCATTTTGGACGGAAAAAGACCAACTTTGGTTACACAAGGAAGTGGTCAGATTCGCACTCTGCCAATTCTATATACCCTGCGATTTCTTCCACTCTGGTCTTATTACTCTTGTTTTAAATATGTAATCAATTTAGGAATAATTTGCCTTCGTGGCTGAGACCAAGGCGTATTTATGGATAATTTTGCGCGGGAAAAATTTTCCATTTATTCAACTCAATATTGCTCGCGCGTATCTATGTCTGCCCATTCTTCGTTCTTGCCTGTTCTCCAAATTGTCCTTCACTTTTCTTCCGTATTATCATCCTACTTTTCCATTAATGTCCCCCATTATAATTTCCCCGCAATATATTTCCTTCTTGTTTCCAATTTGTTTCCAGAAAGGTTCAAGTAAGTAAAAAATAATATTTTTTCGGAATCATTTGCACTGTTCGTGGGCAATAGGCGGTAAATTACGGCCATACGACAATTTAGACGTAGAGCGACACGTAGGACGTTTTCATACACATCCATTTTTTTATGTGATGTTTTTAAAGATTTGGCGTACGGCAATGGATTCCTTTCTTTTTTTTGTTGTTTCTTTATTTTTACTCCGCTGTAAATGTGCATGTAGTTTTTTGAATCTCTTAAAACCCTTCCCTTCCTTTTTCGTTCCAGATAGGGTAGCAACATCTAAATTTAATGTCAAAATTCTTTATAATTCCGGATTCTTTTTCCGGATATTTTAACTAAGTCAGGTTATTTTCAGTGTAAATTGAATGTTTAACATTTTAGATTAGGCGTTAAAAAATGCGCAGTCGATTTTAAATATTCAGTCCATTTGATGCCACAAACTATCAGATCAATTTCTCTTAGTAGCCCATTTGTGCTAGGCGGTTTAAACATTTCAATAGAAACACATCCGTAACAAACAAGTTAAATGAAAAAGGAAGAAGAATGTCCGGACTATATATATTATATATTATAATATATATATAATATATATATATATATATATAACGACCATGATACCTTATAACTATATACCAAGCATACAGGCAGCCGTGGACATTTTAAATAATAATCAAATTAATCATACATCACCGTAAATATATATATATATATATAATATATATAATATATTATATATATATATATATAGTCCACTAACCTTAGGAAAAAATACCAAACATGTTCCTCATATACTAACAAATAATTTTGTAGTGTACCTCTTTTGGAAGCTTTACTAACGTCAGCTTAACTAGCAAACTTGGGAGAACTGAAACATTGATTTTACTTGTCTTTGTAGGGAAGTGGAACGGCTATTGAAATTATGAAGAACAATGGTTAACATGTAAGTTGGGTAAATTTTGTAATTCATTTTTCGTGCAGACACACAGGCAGAGACACACACAGACAGACACAGACAGACACAGACAGATACAGACACGCTCGATGGCGCCCTCCGCCCGAGTGCAGCCCGGCCGGCCATATGGTTTCGGGGAGGCTTCGTGGAAGGGAACGCGGCGCAGGGCGGCCGTTGGAGAGCAAGTGAGGAGTAAACCTCTTCCGCGAAGGTAGTCATTTTCAAACTTATGGCTGGTGGAGAATGTGATATATGAATTATCCATATACACGGAGTGGCCCCTCACAATTCCTTTACAGTTTTGCCTTCAGATGCATGCATAGAAAGTGTGCTTTTGAAAAAAAATAGTTTTCATTTGTAATAAATTAATTATACGGCACAAAACAAAGTTTTTACTTTTAGATCATGCGTAATACATTAATTTATATATATTCAGATACATCAGAATGTTTCCAGTATATTCCTTTTGAAATGGTAAATATTAAAAAATACGAAACATCTTAAAGGAAATGATACACTAAAAAAATATTTTTTGTATTTTAGTGTGACTCCAAATCTTCTTTATTGACGCTGTGAAGTCGTTTCACTTGAAGGGTTGGGTGTTTGGGGTTGGAAAGGGGTGCGCACTACAGCTGGGAAGTTCTGTTGAAAAAAAAATATCAGTACTTCAATTAGTATCGCACGGACCCTGTTAACATTTCCCTTGTGAAACTTAATTGATAAATTTGTAAGCAGTACCTTGTAAAATTACTAGATATAATTAAAAGGCAAATGTTAGAAACATTTGCACTCCCAGTTTTGTGTTCATGGAATTATGATTAGAAATTCATGGAATTTGAATTTTCAGTAGATTTTAAATACAACCTTTCAGGTGAAATAACATCTAATAAAACAAATAAGCAAATGCACGAGGGTCATTCAGGAAATATCGATCGTTTGTCTGTAATAATTTTAAAAAATGTTTCAAACAATGTATCTCTTACATACATGAAGCGTATCACGCTTCTCCAAATAATGACCAAATTGATTGAGACATTTATCATATCGGTGTATGAGCTTCAGTATACCCGTGCTTACTCCCCGGCCGCCGGGCGGGGGAAGAACGCGACTGGCAGAAAAGCCGTTACCACAAGTACGTCCCACAATGCGAAGCGCAGAAGCAAGTCTTACTGCCCGTAACATGGCGAAGGCGGTAGCAAGGGGCAAAGAGTTTTCCGCCACCAACCACGGCAGAATGAGATGCCGACCCATCAGGGGTGCCACGACAGAAATTATTTCACACAAAAGAATTATGGGGATCATTTTGCCCTCTTTTACTATTACATACCTTAGAAATGTATTTACTTGTATGGTTTATTCTTGTGTATCATAATTATGTGTATAATGTCTTGTACATTGCCATTTCATCATTTTTGTTCCTTCGTCCTTCCTTCCCTTTTGATTGGAAAATGCATACGAAAATGCTCACAACTGTATTGTAAATGTAAATTTGATACCGCAAATGGTGAACAGTTTTAAAAATAAATATCAACTTTACGTAACACTGAACTAAGCCCCCTACCCAGCCTTAAACTTTTCCTCCCCCCCTGAAGCTTTATGTAATTTATAGTGGTCCAGTGATACTCACTTCCCAGCAGCTTTGCCACCCCACACACGGTCGCAGTCTGTCTGATTGTCGTCCTCGTACTCAGCGCCGTCCTCTTCAATGCCAGGCGCCTCTTCGGCCGCCGCTTCATATGCGAACCGCAGGAACACCTGCATTCCACAGATGATTGGCCTCCTTTCTTTTGGGGGAATTGCAAGAAACTTAGAATAAATGTTATAAATAGGTCGCAAACGATTACCATAGAAATTATCTGCATTTAGTATGTGATATTTGCAGCTGATCTGCATACAAAAATTCGCACAAGAAATCTCCTTGACTGTGACATAACCTTTCCTGCCAAACAGCTGTAGATACGTAGTTGTCTGAGAATCAGGGGATACATGTATATAATACACGTCCTGTTCTTGGCTCGAGAGCCCGATACAAGCCAGGGTCGATCAACGGTGGCACGGCCTTTCGGCCATGGAATAAGGGATTTATGGTTAGCACGAAGACATCTCTCCAATGTATGTTTTGGCCTTGTTAACTTTAGGGCGGGCTTTCTCTTTGAAACAGAGCAATAGACACTGAGACATTGGTAAGGAAAGCACGCAGATATAATTTTGTCCCGGCCTGGAATCGAACCCGGGGATGTGTCGTGGAAAGCTAGCACCCTAACCAACGAGCCGCGGAGGGCCTCATATAGTACATGTACATAAAACGGACATAATTCCTTTTTACATATTAAATTACAAAAGTTATCATTTTCGTCCTCTCAACATATCCTAGAAGTTTGTAACATTGATTTTGAGACAGCTTGTGTAAGAATCGTAATCACAAAGCTACTTTTACATCTCTGTATTCTTATTCCATTTTAACGCCTTTCGGCCTACTCTGGGATGGATGGCATGAATTGATGAGAGCGTGTTAATGGCAAAAGAATGAATAATGAGAGGTAGTGAAATCGGAAAACAAGTTCTCTTTAGGATGGGCATCATCGTCAAACGTTAACCAATTTCCTTCCTTTTTTACCTAATAAGCGTTAATACGCATTTAGGGATATTAATATTCTAAAAATTCTGTACTTCTATACTTATTAAAAAGCTAAACTCCAAATCACAAACAATTAAAAAAGGGTAGAAATTAATGTCATTTGCTCAAAGAAAAAAATGTATGATTAGGTCAAAGTGCAATTGATGAAAAGCAATGAAAAATTGAGCACTGAATCTCTCAAAAGATGTTAAGTTCGTACATACTACTTGCTTTAAATAGTTTTAGAGCTTCTTGAGCATAAGCAATGTCATCTTACTTTCAGAGGCCTTAGGATATAGATAATGTCTTTAGTACTCGTACAATATAATACCTGAAATTTTATTTCATAATTCCCTGCATCCCCGCAATTGTATCGTGAAGTTGGGGGTCGCGTAGGGACACGACTTTTTTAGGATAGGTTGTGTTTACAAGGTGCAGAGTTTCCGCACGTGTCCGGATTATATGTACTTATTTATAAGTATAAGAATAAATACTTAGTTAAGTGAGAAGACAACCTTCCCTCTAGCCTGAACCAACTACAGATGAAACAGCGTTGGCTTCCGCAGTCAGTAACTACTTGGCTATGCGGGAGACCCCTCATTCTAGGCGCAGGTGCCAACGTTTTGGGCGCCATTTTGCGACCATCCTCCTGGAGGAAGGTCGCGTGCGTCTAGGACAGTCAAATAGTTAACTAGAAATGTCTTATTTTTTTAACTATAGACCAATTGAAAATATCTGAAAAAATTCACAACAGGTGTTTTGAGAGGACGTTTTGAATGTTTTTCATGCCTTGTCTGGAGTTCTAAACTAATTCTTGTAAATCCGGGTCCAACCCATTCCCCTTCATTTCTCCACATGCCCCCCCATTTATCCTTCATCTGTGCTCAAACGGCTTGTCCATAAACTACGTAAAATGAACATCTGTCCTTAGCGAATACTTTTATAAAGGTTTTAAAGAGTTAAAAATATGATAATTTGTAACTACATTGTACAGAACCAGAATAAATGTACAGAACCGTTGCAGTCATTTTCAAAGAGTAATTAAAGTCAAAATTATTTAAAGGTGGGAAAATGATAAAGCAACACCAGGTACATTTTTCTAATTTTATTTCAATTGACAGCTCTCTTGATTTTCTATAGCGGGTGTCAATTTTTCGCCAAACTAGTAAGTTTTTAAAAGAAATCTACTTTGTTGTTGGTAAATTTCACGTAGATTGCCGCCAGATTACAAAAAATCGCCCGTTCATCGCCAGAAAAAAAAGAGTTTCTTAATGGAACAGTTTCTCGGAGGGTTAATACTAGTGTTGCGTCGTGCCACGCTCAAACCGCCGGATGTTAAACAAACGGCGGAGTGATGACGCACTGGGACTTTCCGTGGACGTAGCGGGCCCAGAGCGGCGTTGGGGAGGAGGCAATGGGGGCGGCGGGCAGCGCCAAAAGGGCCTATATAAGGCCAGGAGAACAATGCCCCAGTCTTCTAGTACTAGCGGCGTCGGCAACAGATGAAGCGCGTGTCTGTGCGTGTAGGTGCACTAGGGCGAGGGGCCAGCAATTCATTGTCGTGACTTGCGAGACGCGTAGATGGTCTCAAAGTAGAGCGGCTTCATACAGGGAACATCGGTGGTATGTTGCGGTGTGGTACCGTTCTTAAATTATTTTTCCTTGTAGTGGGTCTATTTATTTAGTCTATTGTGTATTGTATTTATTTAGGGTAGTTGTTAAATTGAGACTACGGTCTAGTTTGTTATTAAATCTACTGTTTTACAAACCACTCTCGACTGGGTTCGATTACACCCGTATGACGCCACACTAGTGACTGTGATTTATTCTTAAATGGCAAGAAGTAGCATATACAAAGTACACTTTGATTAATGTATTTAAAAGTTTTAGTTTTCAAATATATATTACAATTAATTGTAGCAAAACAAACATTTTTAATGCTTCTTTTCATAAGTTTCTTAATTCATTTTGATGATTATAGTATTAGTAAAAATATTATTAGGAGTAAGTATAGGCACGTTTTCATCAGCCCAGGATTCCACACTTCGTCTCCTTTACTACACTTAATTAAATTACCAATAATTCACATTACATTACCATTCATATTACTTTCTGGAAATGTTTTGATTCCTATTCTCAAGGACAAACATAATTTGTATCATGATTCTCATGATTTCTAGACCGACATGTAAAATGAAGGACTCCGAATTAAGCATTTTCGATGGAGCAATTTTAGGATGGAATTCGACTACACTCCGAAATTAAAGATGGCATTCGTTTCATTCATCAACGCTTCGATTCGTTCCCTTATGGAATTGTAATGAATTGTCGCTGGGCGTAGAAAGTGCGTATTGACGGTACCTCTTCGAGCGTCGACTGGGACACGGAATAGTCCTCGATGAGACCGCGTCCGCCCGCGCCTTCTCCAGCTCCGCGAAGATCGTGGCGAGGTGGTCGGCGCCGGCGGTGGGCAGCTCCGAAGCGCGCGTGGACGGCCACGCGTTCGCGCAGGGCGCACTGCGCCCGCGCCCGCCCCCGCCCTCGGCCCCCGCCGCGGCCCCGCCGCCGCCCCGCCCCCGCCGGGCAAGCCCGCGCCCGTCAGCTCCGCCAGCGCGCCGCGTCCGCCCCCGGCGCGCGCACCTCCACCAAGTAGCCGCGTCCGAACCTGCGCCCGAAGTCATGCAAAGAAGAAAGTGTCATCCACTACAATTGTCTAACACCATGCTTTCGAAACTGAAATCAGTGTCGATATAAGTATTTGTATTTACGTCAGTAACACGCGCTTAGCTTCTTAGCAATCACAGGGGTGAAGGTGAGATAGGGATAGGGATAGGGGAACACACTCCCAGACCATTTGGAGCGCTGGTGGAAAAACTGTCAAGCAATGATTGGCTAGTGGTTTTCGCTTGTTTTTTGTAGTTCACATCCAGCCTTCATGCGTTTTCCACATGGCGGAAGAGTAAATCATATTGCCGTTGGTTACGTTCATGAGTTCATTCAAGATTATTTGTATGAAATTTGTAGCCTACTGTATTCACATAACACTATAAGGAAATCGTGTATTTTTTTTTGTTATGTAATGTAATGATTTATTATGATTTGTTATTTAATGTAATGTTTTTAAAGAATGTTCATGAATATTTGTATACATTTCTAGAAAACAAATGGCCATTTAAATAATTTGAAGATAAGGTTTTTCTCTAATTCTAAATCACCTGATGACACATTGTTTTGTTAAGTGCATTTATCCGAAGAACTTATTTTTAAAAAGTGTGTACGTTTTTTAATAAACAAATATGTAATAGATGAAAAACAGAAAATACAAACTAAAAAAAAAAATACAAAAGGCCATGAAAAGTTGGAAAATTTTAAAATTTTTAAATCTGTATTAAATATTGTTTAATATATAAGTTGTGCAATAAAGGCAATGATTTATTATTTATATATTTCTTTGTTTAGTCATTTTGATTCCTTCATTTCTGCCCTTACCATATAATTATATGACTCTCCTCAGTTATGACCTTACCCTAGTGCATTACGAAAATAGATAATTACTATATTTTAGAAGAATTGCAGTAGAATGTAGCCTATTAATATCCATTAAGTATCGCCGAGTGAAATTAACGTGAAGTGAACGCTGCGCTGGGCAGGCGGTTTATATAGTTCTTTGCCAGTCCACTTGAAGCGCTGCGAGCAACTATTGTTTCCGACGTTTAACATTGAGGGTGCACTTCTATCCTTTATTGTTCTGTGTTAGCAATCAATCATCTAAACAACGCATTAAGAGCGCATCTATAGCAACGGCCATTAAAATACTCGAGAGTCCATTAAAAACAATGTAGCACACTCTCGGGTTTAGATTTTACCAGTGCTAATGAATCTTTGGATAAATATGTCCCTTTTGTCCCACTTTTACCCACGTCTCCCCGTCCCATACGTCCCCTTGTAACATTATGCCCCCTTCTCTGTAAACAACACTAGCACCTAAACAATACTTAGGATTTTTCCCAAACTAAATAAAACCCCTTTTGATCTGGCCTCACTCGAAGCTCTGCGATATTGAGAAATATTCATTAACCGGTCCAATTTTAAATTATTTTTTCACGTATGTAGTAAAGAACGGCAAAGGCAGCTCGTTGCTTGGTAATGGACTGGTCAAATTGTATATTCGGATTTCTCGCGCTTTGTTTGAGGCAGTGACACATTGCTCTCTTATTAGCAAGCAAACAAATTTCAGACACAACTTATTTATGTAAAAACGGAAATGATGCATTACGTATTATAATAATCATAAACTTAAATTGTTCGTGAAGTTAGTTTTTTATTCGAAACTATTAGTAGCGTTGGAAACTTACGTAGTATTTCCCAGAAATTTAAACCTTTATTCGAATGTACACAATGTGAAAGGACAAGCTAGAAGTGAGTAATATTTAACTGAAAGTGAATATTTAAGTTGAAACCGATTTTGCAGCAAAAGGTGATTTTGAAGATGACCTGCCAGCAAAAATGAAACATTTTAGCGGGATTTGTTGCTACCAACCTCTCGTGCGATAATGAATTCGTTTAAAGCGATGTCATTTCACAAAATGGCCACACAGCGGTTTCAGAATTCTTCAGATTCATCCCATTGTTGTCGATCGTTATAATTGTATGATGTAGATAATATTCTTATGAAAGTAAATACTTTAAAGGAAGGTTATAAATTTAACTTAGATCTTACAAGCACCCTTCGTTACTATAAAAAGTGTTGATCGCCGATATTGGTATTCAAAAATTGAAAGCTCCCTTTAATATAACCAAATCCGGCTTCTGTGAAATTCTTTGTGTTTATCTCTATTGTGTGTGGAAGTACTGTAACAGGTAAATTTATTAATGTTTGTGTCATTTGTAGCAGAAATTATACTATTTAAATATTACGTAACGTTTTAGAATTATGCGAGAAAGAATGTGTTGTTGTCGCCCCTCTAGGTATTTAAAGAGTCGATTTAGATAGCATGGACTTCAGGGTAGTGACAGACTTTTTCCAGCGCTAAAATGCTATTTGTCATTATAAAACACAAAGTGATGAGCAAAATACAAATAGTATTCTGAAAAAGTTAATGTGGAAATCAAATCGTTTTGAAGTTCATCCTTTTGGTCAGGCACAAAACTCCAAACTAGACAACTATTTTAGACAGCCACTACAAAAAGTGGCCCCCTAAGGGCTTGCCAAGGCGCTAAAAGTTCAATTTTTAGCACTTGTGTTAAAAGTAAGACGGTGGTAAAGTGGTCTGATAAATCTGTGAATGTAACAAAGAAAATTCAATACTTTTACCGAAAGGACCAAAAAGACAACCAGGACAGGAAAACATTTTGCTCGCAACCTTTCCTATTCCCAAAATAATAAGTCATTTCACGGTTAAAAGTCGTTCAAGTGCTTGAAATAAGGAGATCCTTCTAGTGTCTACATATCTTAAAACGTTACTATATGAGTGATTCTAAAACTAATGCTACAACACATACTTTCTCTCATTATTTCTAAATTTGTACATTTCGAAAATTCAGAGACTTCAACGAAAATGAGACCTAAGCCATTATTTTAAGCGTCCCTTCTTCCATCCTTGGAAAAAATTTAAAGTAAAAAATTTAAAGCGTTTTTTGATAAAATATTTTTTTGTAAATTGCATTAATTTCAACCGCAAATTATGCAAAACTTCTCGTTTCTTCAAAAAATTCTACGTGACCTTTTTTTAAAGAGGTGATTTGTTACAAGAGACTACCTCAGGTAAATATTTCTTTCTTCAATTTTGTAGTTTTGTTACGTTACTTTTAACTTTTTGAAATTTTCGAATATTGGGATCTCCAAATTTACAAGATTGTAATAGAATTAGAAAAATTTCAAAAGTGCAGTTTCGAGGTGGAAACGTAAGTCACCCGAAGCATGTTCTGTGCAACGAAAGCAGACCCATTACTTGCGTATGAGAGTTTACTGGGCTAACAAGTAAGAAAGTGTGGATTCTGCGTGGTCCTATGTGACCCATTCGCAAAGAAGAAAGAAGAAAAAGAAAAGGAAAGGTACCAGATAGGGGTCATGTCAGAGAATTTGGACCCCAATCTTGATTACTTTTTATGTACAGTTTTCTTTGAGAATGTTGAAAATACCCGCGAATTTTAGTATATTTTCAATAATCTTCAACCTGGAAATTCCTTTACTCGTCCCATGATTGCAGACTATGCCAATTCTCAGAATATATTTTTATCTCGCAGATTTGTCTGGGTCGCAAAGCTACGTAATGCATTTGTATGTTGGGCTTTTTAACATACTGCAGTTATTTCGAAGACTCTAAATACTTGGCCGTTGTTCCAGTATCTACAAAAAGAAACCTTTCTTTCGGAACCTATTAACGGGTGTAGATGGTTTCCCACTCATGTTGCCTGAAACACGGGCAAAGGCCCACTGTCCGGCGACCGCCAGGCCTTAGGGCAAGGGGTCAAATACTATAGAGACAATACAGGACACTTCCCAGTTCTTCCACGCAACCGATGGAAACAAGTTCCTACTAGCGCTCCTAGTGTCAGAACCTGGTACTTTAGCGCCAAATAAAGACATCATAATTCTTACGGAAGAAATACATTTTTTTGAAATTGACCTAACGAAATAAGACTCATTTTTACCTACTTTATCAGTGACTTAATTGTACTGAATGGCTCAAATAACGGAAAATAATATTGTACAAAACTGATGTTTCATACATTCCAAGAATAAAATGTTTACAAATGCAAGACTTTCCTTGCCTTAACGCTTCTAGTGATACATTTAGTATTTTTTTCATTTGCTTTATTTAAAAAGCACTGTATCATACAATTAGTACACTCCTCACATAGAATATTTTCCAATGAATATTATTGATTTGCATTAATTGTTTTTTGACCTCAAGTTTACTGTGAAGTAAACAATTTAAAAAGTCTCCATCGGAAACATACTTAGTCTTGCAAAACAAACTAATAGCCAATTCATTTGGGTAGAAAAGTGTGGCATTCACGTACTGCTTAGTCAGAAAACGCGAGTTTCTTAATTTATGCTTTTCATCTACATTGGATGAACTATTTATACGTGAAGAACGAACGCGAGTTCTTTTGAATTTCATAATTAAAACAGCCCAAAACTTCACAACGTTTCCTGCCATAAGGAAGGATGTCAAGAACAGTATTGGAAAATAAATTTTTTGACCAGAAAGACAATCAAATTAATAGAAATCGAGCAGAAAACAAACACCAACAGAGCACTGAGCTTAGGCAGTAGAGTTTTCACCAGGTCCTGCAACTAGGAGGAGCTGGCACCAGTGTTTCTCGATATATCGCGAAGTGTCCTGTATTGTCTCTTGGAGGGGTGGAGGGTTGGCTTGTCAGGTTGGCGTGCCTGGCCTTGAGGTGCTGCGCGGAGCCGAGGCAGCGCAGGCGGCCGGCCGCCATGACGGAGAGGCGCGTGCTCAGGGCCTCGCTCTCGGCCAGCGCGTGCGACGTGAGCAGCGCGCCCGCGCCGCGCGCCGCCGCCTCCAGCACGCGCGCCCGCAGCGCACGCCGCGCGTCCGCGTCCATGCCGGCCGTCGGCTCGTCCTGCGCACGCCGCACGCCCTCCTTGCCTTCCACCGCAATGGACACTAGGCCCGTAAGTGGAGTCAATGT